CTCAGTGGTCGCTTGCCCCTGAGTTCAATCCCTGGTACCCATCAGCCACAGAAATCTTTAATTCATGAAATATTTGGGAGCACTACTATCATCATCTAACCCAAGGTCGACAATGAATGAATGTGAGGAGTCAGGCAGAATGGAAGGTGGGAGGAGTCTAGATGGGACACAGGAAGCCTGGGCTCACCTACGGTGGTGTGACACRCACTGTCACTCAATGTCCTCACCCGCGAACCCTCGAACTGCAGAGGAGGTACCTGAGTTGCTTCTCTCTCGAGATAACCAGGAGGTTCACCAGATACGTGTGAAAATGGTATGTAAACCATTAGGTGAACACAATGCCATTGTTATTAATAGTAAATCAGGAGTTTCTAAGCATCTTGTCCTCTCTGTCTCCCTGCCTGGCCCCAGAATGTTGGAAGTGACTTTAAGAACATTCCTGAGGCTTATCTTCAACTTGTAGATAGTTTTAGATTTGTGTGCCTCTTCCACTGTGCAAAAATCAATCAAAGTCTTTAGGGTCTGATAAGGTTAATTTAAAACACAAAAAAGCACACTGGATGTGCACACAGGTTCTGGAGAAGGACCCTCGGACACCCCCTCATGATAACATTAGAACTCTGGGGAAACTACTGGACCTCCCTGGCGTGCACAGAAAGAGCTTTGGAAAATGTCTGCCACATTGTACCAGAGAAACATTAGTTTTTGTGTTTGTTTTTTTWAAATATTTTTTAGTGGTAGATGGACACAATTCATTTATTTACTTATCTTTATGTGGTGCTGAGGATTGAACCCAGGGCCTCACACATGCTAGGCAAGCGCTCTACCACTGAGCCACAGCCCAGCCCATCATTAGCTCTTCTACGTATTTATTTATTTATTTTKGTACTGAGGATTGAACCCAGGGGCACTGAACCACTGAGCCACGTCCCCAGCCCTTTTTTATATTTTATTTAGAGACAGGGTCTCACTGAGTTGCTGAGGGCCTTGCTAAGTTGCTGAGGCTGGCTTTGAACCCCTGATCCTCCTGCCTCAGCCTCCAGAGTCAATGGGCCTACAGGCATGTTCCACCGAGGCCAGCAGGAAACAGCAGTATGTTGTTTAAAGTATCCTGATAGGTGTAACATTTTGAACAGGTCCACAGTATTTCTACCTTTAGATATGATTCTCATACCTTTATCATCGATGACCCAACCAGAGCCAACACCCCATTATGCTAATGCCACCCTGTGCACAAAACGGCTGGTAGATTGCTATTTAGAATTGTTCAGAATGCAAAATGCTTCGATCCAGCTACTTTCACACACATGTATGACATGTAACTGGGGGTATGAATTCTTCAAAGGAATCAGTATGAGGGGCTGGGGCTGGGGCTCAGTGGTAGGGGACTTGCCTAACATGGGGGAGGCACTGGGTTCAGTCCTCAGCACCATAAAAATAAATAAAATAAAAGTATTTGTGCCAACTACAACTAAAAAAAAAATAAGAAAACAATTAGTATGAGTTTATGGTATGATACAATGTCAGCTGGTGTCACTTTTATTTTGTGAGGGACATKCATTTAACATGTTCCTTACTATTGAGATGCACCGTCACAGGTATAGCTCAAAACTACTTCTCTTTCTGTTTCTTTTTTTGGAGGGGTGGGGTGGTTGGTGAGGGGGTAAGGTGGGGGATGGACTGCTAGGGACGGAAGCCAAGGCCTTTTCCATCCATGCAAGGCCTACCCCCTACCACGGGACCACAACACGGCCTAGGCCCTGTCTGTCTAATGCATCCTATTGGCACCTGAAGAGCACTGTGGAGAGTCACTTGGCTTTCTGTTTTGTGCAGAAATGAATGATCAGACTGATTTTAACAATCATGACCAAGGCCCACATTTTCTTTTTTCTTTGGTAYCAGGGATTAAATTCAGGGGTGCTTAACCACTGAGCCACATCCCTAGCCCTTTTTATATTTTATTTAGAGACAGGGTCTCATTGAATTGCTCAGGGCCTCACTAAGTTGCTGAGGCTGGTTTTGAACTTGTGATCCCCTTGCCTCAGCCTCCCAGGCCACTGAGATTACAGGCATGGGCCAATGGCCTGGCTCTACATTTTCTTTTTTAGATGACAGGATTTCAAGTGAGGATTTTATGAGATCAGATGGTCTAAGGTATGGCTTCTAGAGACAGAAATGAACAGTGGTTAGAGATGGGACATTCGTCAAGATTTATGGTCAATGACCTCAACTTTGTCCTTGCTTTCTMCCAAGAAATCACCTTAGTACATAAGTACATGGCAAAATCTCAGAGAGATCCATGCCGGTTGTAGTCGTATTCAACAATAAAATACTTTTCCTGAACATTGTATCAGACTTGGTGACACGGGGGAAACACACGGGTCGACTGGTCTATCCAAGCACTGGGGCTGAGTCTACCCAAGCAGTGACCAAGTAYGGTGACAAGAGAAAGGCCACTCTGACGGAGGAAACCGTGGATGCTGACAATGGATAACTTGTCCATAGCTACAGTTCTAACATATTAAAGAGAGAATTTAAATATAGGATAAAAATACAAAAAAAAAAAAATGAAGTGGTTTTCTCTAAGTCCCGTTATAGGCTAAAATTACTCCTGTGTTTAGGCAGTTGTTACATTTTGAGTTATTACATGAGGTCAAACTCTCACATAATGAAAAATGAGATTGAGTAGCTATGGATCGCTGCACTAACCCAAGACCACATACCCCAGAATCCAAATGGTACCACCTGGAGATGTRCGATACCTCAACTGCACAGCCCAAGCTGGACTCTGTCCTAGACAACCCCCCATAACACACAGCACGGCTAACCTTTAGGCACACAGCTCTGAGTATAGGTGTAAATATACAAYGCATTCAGTCATATCTGCTACGTGATACAGAATGCATACACAGGATAGAACCCTAGACTATTTATTTTTCGTATTTTTCTTCCCCCTTTTAAGGTCCGCAGTAAAGTCTGCACAAGTTAGCTGAGCACAAGACATACTTCCAACMTCTCTACTTAGAATAGTGTGAGAGAAGCAGATGCTGTCAGTTTAATGTCAGCTTAATGTCAACCAAATTCTCATATTTCACTTCAYGATGACGAAGATGTTTCAAGGCCAAACTAAACATCAATGAACAAAGTGTAAAAAAATAATAATAATAAATATATCCTCTTTTGGAGGTGGGGGGCACACACTGGGGACACTCAACCACTGAGCCCCAACCCCAGCCCTATTTTGTATTTTATTTAGAGACAGGGTCTCCCTGAGTTGCTTAGGGCCTCGTTTTTGCTGAGGCGGGCTTTGAACTTGTGATCCTCCTGCCTCAGCCTCCGGAGCCACTGGGATCACAGGCGTGAGCCAAGGCGCCCAGCCTAAATATATCCTCCTGAAGAGAGAAAGACCGGGCTGATATTTCTCGATTGCTGTGTTCACACCTTTATCCCCAGCTCATTTCAGATAGTTGGGTGATGTCCAGATATTCCTGGACCGTGGTAAGTGGATGGAGGGATGGCCAGCCTCCTCCCCATGCACACTGCATGGCTGGGATTGGAATCTGGGCAAGCTGCTGACATGCTCTTGCGGAGAGCATCCTGGACCTCTGTCCTGGGGCGAGCCTTCCCACCTCCACCCACCTTGGCCACAAGGGTTRCGAAGGGACCCCCGTGTGGCCTTTACCTGTAAAGCTACTGTTCATTTCAGGAACGTCATCCTCCTCCTCGGTCTCCGCGGGGACTATGCCAGCATTTTGCATGTCATTGTAGGACTTGGTGCGCTTCGGGGTCGACTGCTTGGAGCCAGACTGAAGGCTTTGCAAGGCATCCGTTGTGATCACTTTCCCACTGACTGGCTGGCTGGGAGGTTTGGGTGTCCCATAATAGTTTCCTAGGTGATGGAGAGACACATTTGCATGTTTCAGAAAGAATACTTTTTTTTTTTTTTGCAAGACTTCACATCCCCATCTCTCAGCGCATGAAATAAAATAAAAACCGGAAAACGAGACCCATTTCATTTCTGGGATGGGTTAGCRGAGACCGCCTTCCTTATCCAACTAGGTCAGGGTGATTGCAGGAGCAGAGAGGAGAAGCCACACTGTTTTGGTGCAAAGGAAAAAAATGAATGAAMGCTAAAAACAAAGGAGGAGGCGCTGAATAGAAAAAAAAAAACAAACCAAAAAACAAAAAACAAAAAAAAACTTCCATCTTCATTACATTTGAATTTCAATTGGTCGTCTTTTGCTATATGGGCACCAGCATAATGCTTGAATCCGATTTAGAGTGAGCCTCACAGAAAATCAAAATTCATTACTGCCAGCACCCTTAGAGACCTGAAAAGTTGAGGTCACCTCCCCTCTTCAAGAGGGAACAGGGGCACTGTTTGAAAAGAAGGGCAGTTGAGTACCACGTGGCGCCTCTTCAAGTGAATGGCAGGCCTGACCCTCAGACCTGCAGGGTGGGAACAAACCCTGGCCACGTTGTAACAGAAAACTGTCAATCACGCCTCTAGAAACAGCCCATCTTCCCTTTACCCACCAAGTTTGGTTTATGGCTCACTACAGTGTGCTACGGCACCCTGACTGGTACATGAATTGGATTTTTGCTTTTTTTTTTTAAATTTTAATGAACAAACATTTTTAATTTCCAATAGAAACATCTAATGAGTAAGTTAGATTAGCAAAATCAAGTTCGCCTTTAAAATTGAAGAAAAAACAGCAATACTTTAAAAAGGCTGATTGATCTTTAACAAAAAGCTTTAAACAACAGTTTTAGACAACAAAAAAAATTAAACAATGGAATAAATAATAGTGATGGTAGTGATAAGAGTTTCTTTTTGAAAACTCCCATTTAATCCCAGTGGCTCAGGAAGCTGAGGCAGGAGAGGATCCATTTCAAAGCCAGYCCCCGCAACTTAGTGAGGTCCTAAGCAACTCAGCAAGACCCTGTCTCTAAATAAAATATAAAAAGGGCTGAGGATGTGGCTCCGTGGTTGAGTGTCCCTGGGTTCAATCCCYGGTATCAAAACCAAAACCAAAACACACACACAAAAAGAAAACTCCCATTTCAAAGTAATACTACATCATCTACATGTCCAAATATGTAACAATGAATCCCATCATTATGTATAACTATAATGCAGCAATAAAAAAATATGGAAATATTAAATCTCATTATATAAAATCTCAAAAAAAATCCAAAGCAAATTATGTTTGTTAAAAGTTTTCTTAAAGAAAATACTAATTAAATAACAGACTGTTCCAATATGAACAAAATCATGAAGGTTGTTCATGAACAAAGTTTGAAAAGCCGAGTTTATAATCAATGATATTTAGCAACTACATGATAAAAGACATCGACATTAGAATTCCACTGATCCATTCAACTATTAAATCTTTCAGAGTAARTCCAGGAAGATAGACAATAATACTGAATCCTTCAATAAATCCTGACCAATAATTGTAATTTGATGTTTAGTAAAGGAGAATTTATAGATACTAATAAAGCCTGTGTATGATATTTGTTCCCAATGGCCCAATGCCATTAGCTAAATCAAGCACCTCAATAYATAGACATTTTATAAGCACTTAAAAAGGCAAAGAAAAAAAAAAAGAAGAAAGAAATAGAAAAAAGAACAAAAGACAAAAGTTGGTCTCCATGAGACCTAGAGATGATCATTTGTTTCTATCCAACATTATCCTCATAATTCTGCTTTTTCCAGAAGGCGTTTAATAATATCTCTTTAAGATATTTTTGAATTATCAAATTGATGAATAWATATACAATGACTTTGTTTGAAAGTGGTTTAACAGTCCATATCAGCAAGGGAACTCTGAATATATACTTTTTTTTTTCTTTTATACCAGGAATTGAACTGGGACACTCAAATGCTGAGCCCCATCCCCAGTCTTTTTTATATTTTATTTAGAGACAGGGTCTCACTGAGTTGCTTAGGGCCTCGCTAAGTTGCTGAGGCTGGTTTTGAACTCGAGATCCTCCTGCCTCAGCCTCCCGAGCTGCTGGGATGACAGGCATGTGCCATCGTGCCTGGTTGAACATACACATTTTTAAAACCTAGTAGACTGAAAGGGGGCCATGTGTAAGTCTGGAGGATCCCAGGTAGGCATCTGGTAAGCACATTTGGGTCAATCACTAGGACTTTTTTTTTTTTTTAATAGAAAGTGATCTATCAATTTCTTAAAAAAAAAAAAAAAAAAAACTTCTTTAAGATCTCCAACTTGCAGGATCAGGAAGTAAGAAGAAAGCTTGAAAAAAGTCACCCCTTATATGTTTTTTTGGGGGGCAATCCTCAGACAAGAAAGAATTGGTGCACATATGAACTAAGAAATCCACTTCACCTTGCAGTTGAAGGGATACAACCTTTTCATTCCCTGAAGACTACTTTATTGGCATTTAGGAAAGCAACACCATTTACTATTGAAAAGTCAACTTCCACAGTGAGTTAAAAAAAAAAGAGAGAGAGAGAGAGATAAAGATAAAGCCCTACTGAATTTAATTCTCAATCCCTCCCATCACTGATATATCAAAACACCACATCATTTTTAGAGTGAGATGTTAAACTAAGGCTAATGTCTAAAAATAAGAACCTAGTGGAAAATGTAACCAAAGCATGGGACTCTTTACTCATAATTTTATAATTATCATTTTATAATCCTATCACTCAGTTTCAGTGACATTAAATTGAAGTTACATTCATAAAATTATAATCATTTTAAAAAAAAATCAATTAAGTCTTTGACATCTGCAGTGCACGACAGAAATAAATGCCTGGAAAATAAAGTTCTACCTAAATTTGACAAATATGTGTGGATTTCCAGTGGGCACCTGTCCTCAGTTTTCAAGTTCAAAGGCTTTCTTAAGTCAACAAATGATTGGCCTTTTCCTCAATGCGACCACACACACACACACACACATACACACAAAAAAAACCCACACTTGTTCAAAGCTATTCCCTATTTCTAGAAATTAAGATTGGGTACAGAAATACTTATTATTAAGAGGAACTATATAAAATTTCCCTTCTGGAGCTGGGCACACACCGGGAATCCCAGCAGGTTGGGAGGCAGGTACTGCTGGCCTTTATTAACAGGACCCAATTTTTGGCCTTGACCAAGCCAAACAAAATACTTTTCTGCTGGGGATGGTGGGTGTGTGCCAGGGGTTGAACTCAACATCATTTAACCACTGAGTTACATCCCCAGACCTTTTCATATTTTATTTTGAAATAAATAATTTCTCACTGAGTTGCTTAGGGCCTCCCTAAGTTACTGAGGCTGGCTTTGAACTCATGATCCTCCTGCCTCAGCCTCCCAAGCTGCTGGGAATACAGGCATGCACACTGCACACAGCCCCACTGGGCTTCTTTCAGCCTTCACATGCACACTGGGCCCCCTCTTCATCTCACAGTTCCTGCCCCCACCTCTCCCTGTACCCATCTCCCTGTACCCACCCCATCCCCATCTGCTCGTCCTCAGGGACAGCATCTCAGACCCCACAGTCTAGACCAAAGCTGTCCTTATCAGTTCTCACATGTTAACAGGGAAACACGATYGCTTCTTCTTCTCAATGCCCTTTGCTGTATTTATCAGAGTAGTTAATCAGTATCTGTCTTCACCCCTAGATGACCCGATCCACCAAGGCAGGGGCCACACCTGGTGGTGTGCCCCTCCAACACAGTACCAGGCACACAAGGTCACTCAGCAATTCTTTACARAACAATTAGAGATCGTGCATGGATTCTAGCCCAGGGTCCTCGTAAATACCTCTTCTGTGGATCCAGTTCTTAACAACATCACTCAGGACAGTTTTTCCCAGCCCGTCAATTACATCTGAATGACTGCCATCTGTGTCCTGTTGATTTACTACCTGCTTGCTCAACACGGGATGCTATCATTCATAAAATTCTCTCACCTTCTCTTTACACTTTCTTTCCCYACCTACCCCACCCTATGGAAATACAACCTGCACACACACAAGGATAATAAACCCAAGGCCTGTAATTACGTGTCTATCTTTGCCAGTGACTTTAAATAGCAGACCAGGCAGGAGAACATGAGTTAACATTTATAACCATCTTAGAGAAAAAGACATCAATATTCCTATTTTCAGAAGAAGAATCTGAGATTCACACAATTTATAAATGATGCCTGACATTAAAACAGAGATGGGGGCTGGCATGGTGGCTCAGTGGTAGAGCGCTTGCCTAGCCCGTGGGAGGCACTGGGTTCGATTCTCAGCACCAGATATAAATAAATAAAATTCGCTGACAACTAAAAAAAGAAAAAAATTTAAAGGAAAAAAAAAAAAAAAAAGAGCTGTGTCTGCCTCCAGTGTCTATGTCCAGAAATCCCGGGGCATCTCTGGGCAGGAGAATTCAGTAAAACTTCTCTGGCTCCAGCCTCCCCGTCTTTATATGCACAGGAACAGCCAATGACAGCACAGATTTCATTTGGTTACTTTCATTATCAACAGGGAACATTCCACGGCAGAGTTTGCCAACAGAGCTTATCGCAACAGACGGCTCCCAGGGCCTGCCAAAGACCAGGACTCCAGATGGTCTCATTTTCCTCAATGACAAACAAGAACTCTCTTCACCCCTGCTTTATCTCTGGGTCCCCCAAAAGTATCCCGTTGGCAGCTGCTTTTCTACAGACCTTCTAGGAAGCAAAACAATAACATTATTGAATGCTGACATCCCCCTTCCTAATTAGCATGCAGAAATATGCAACCCATAACTCCAATTGGAAATGTCACCCTGGCGCTACACTGCTACRGCTAAGGGAAAACCAATGCTCCGAGTATATAATCAGCCCCTTCTACCCGGAGGCATTTGTAAAACAGGCATGTTTGAATCCACCCCCACTAAAGAGT